GACCCAAAACATGTTAAATCACCCTTTCCTGTCTCCATGCCTCCGATGAGCCTCCCAAGAAGCCTGATCCAGTCATCCCAGCCAGTCTCACCGTAAGTCCTATTCAGTGGTCCCTTGAAGAGCAAATCCGTTGGAGTGTCCCTCAGGTCATACCTATGTTCCCAGAACTCAATGCATCCCTCCGATCAGATCTGTTCACACATGTGGGCACTGGCCACCCAGGGGCCAATCAAACCCTCACCATAAGATCACTTCTGGTGGCTAGGAACGGCACCTCCTGTTGCCTGTTCCTCAGCGTCCCTGGTCACACCTAGGAGAGGACTTACATTACCAATCTGCCTCCCTCAGATGGTTATACCTGCATCCTAGTAGATAGATATGACAAAGTCTGTCTTTTAATTCCCCTCAAGGGACTCCCCACTGCCATGTAAACTGGTGAGCTGATGTTTAATTGTGCTTTCTGTAATTTTGGCCTCCCAGAGGACATCATTTCCGATCATGGACCACAATTCATCTCCTGGGTTACCCACACATTACTTAAACTTTTAAAACCTTTACCACCCTCCTGTGTCTGACTCTTCCACAGAGCCTGGTCCCATGGAGGACCCCCCACCGCTCATCCTGGAAGATGGAGCCGTCTCAGCCAACCGTGAGAGCTTGGATTCCTGACGCCGTGGTGGCCGTCTAGAATATCTGGTAGACTGGGAATGATATGAACCAGAGGAATGATCATGGGTCCTGCTCTTCTTACCTCTTTCCATGAATCACACCCTGATTGTCCAGCATGTCAGGGCCCTTCACTCTCCACAACAATCAGTATCACCTGAATTCTGAAACACCTGCACCTACTCATTATCACACCTCTCCTTTCCTGGAGTAAAGGATCTTTACAGCCAATGTTGTAATTTTAAGCACATTTGTTCAAAATAATAATAATATAAAAAAAAATTTTAATGCATGTTTGGTTAGAATTGTGCTTCGTTCGTCTTCGGAACACAATTTAAGATATTTTGGATGAAAACCGGGAGGCTTGTGACTGTCCCATAAACTGTGCATACTGTTCTACTTGTCTGTGTCAGCCGCACCACACGGATACGTTTTCTACGTTTATTTACGCTTTGATTTGAACGAAGTAGAACAGTATATGAAGTGTGCGTTCATTGGATACTCTCCAAAATGGCGCTACTGTGGCGCGGAGGAGACGAATTGTAGAATAAAGTCGTTATTTGTGTTTTCTTTGCATACAAAATGTATTCTCGTTGCTTCATGAAATTCAGATTGAACCAGTGATGGCAGATGGACTATTTTGACGATGTCTTTCGTACTTTTCTGGGCCTTGACAGTGTTGTTTACTTGGCAGTCAATGGGACAGTCACAAACCAGGAGGTTTTCATCCAAAATATCTTAAAAGCGAACAAAGCTTTTACGGGTTTGGAACGACATGGGGTAAGTGATTAATGACAAAATTTTCATTTTGGGGTGGAGTAACCCTTTAAATTTGGATAACAAGTAAGGTGGTGTGTTAAGTACTGTGCATGTAGGGTAGGTGCGGATTTACATGCCATAGAAACTATGATCCAACTTAAGAGATCAGAATGTCATAGAAGCTTGGGTTTGGGTTCATTTGACTCAGGCTGGCAAGGAGCCAATATGTATGGCTACTTTAATTTATGCATGTCAAATAATTGTATCTACAATACAATGAAAGCTAGGCAAAAAAAAAAAAACTATCTTGATAAAAAATGTTACTTATCTGAAAATCAGTTGTTTTGGTCATAAAATCTACAATGCTGCTTACAGTCATATGCCACTTCAGCTCAAATAGGAGATGGGAGTGTACAATATTGATGACATCACAAGCTCTTTTCTGACTTGGCAAACTGGCAGTGTTATATCTAACCCATGTTACAACACTCCCCGGTCTCCCCCTGGCCAAAAATTAAGTCGCCATTTGGATTTAAATAAGCAAATACTGAAGAGTCTAGGACTGGATCATTATTGCGGTAATTAACATGTTTCAGGCATGTTATATGATTTGCAACAATTCTTTTGACCCGAGTTTAACCCTATTGAATGTCTTGAGGATGTGCTGGAGTCAACTTTACACAGTGGTTCAACTCTCCCATTGTCAATACAAGATCTCGGCCAAAAATCAATGCAACTCTTGATGGAAATAAATGTTGTGATGTTGCACGATGTTGTCAAAACAATGGCACAACAAATGCACAATATAATCAAAGCTAAAGGCGATCCAGCAAAATATTAGAGTGTGCAACTCTTATTTTTTTGGCCAGGCAGTGTAAAGTCAACTCCAGCACATCTCAAAAACTTTCAATTGGGTTTAGGTCCGGTCTCTGTGGTAGTCAATGTTTCACATATTGAGCCTGGTGAATCTTGGTATTGTCGTCCTGGAATATGTACATGGGTATTGCTGCCAAACATACAACATGCCAGAAACATATTAATCACTGCAATATTGATTCAGTCTTAAAATCGTGCATATTTGATTATTTAAATCCATATGGCAACTTTTTTTTTGACCAGGCCCATCAGAAAATAAACAGTCAAAATGTATGTGTGTATTTATTTGCCTGATACTTCAAAGAATCCATGATGTCCTTTATACAGTCAAGATTTCCACTTCCTGCAACAGCAAAGCACCCCCATAACAAGACCGGTCCACCTCCATGTTTGACCATGGGGATGCAGTTCTTCTGCTCATAAGTTTTTTTGCAGCAGATATACCGCTGATCTATAGGTCCAAAAAGTTCCAGTTTGATCACATCACACCATAAAACATTCTTCCAGAACTTCCAAAATAGCAAAATTTTGAACTATATTCAGGTCAGCCTTTATGTTCTTCTTGGGCAAGAGTAGCATT